AGTGGCCCCTGGTCAAAAATTATTGCCCACCCTTGCCCTAGGCTGTCTCTGTCCTCTTTCTCATAGGCTGCTTTTCTGGGGCAGCTGGGATACTTTTATGTTTTGTTAATAGTACTTAGAGCCTGTGTTAGGAGCTCTAAACCAACTTCCAGTTTGGCCTAGTTCACTTAAAAGCAGTGCAGCTCCTCCTTGGGCTCCATTTAGCCCTGGTTTTGGGCTGGGAGGGGAGGTAGTTCCCTATTGAAGTGTTAGAAGAGGAGGATAAGAAGTGTTGTTTCAGAAGTAAAATACTGCTTCACCCCCAAGAGCCATGGAACTATTAATTTTGGAGATTATCATCAGTTTGGGCCTGAGCCTGTTCTATCCAATTATTGGGCAGTTCTGAACACTAGATGATCCTTCAGTTAAAATAATAAATAAGCTGAAATGTAAGGCTGCCAGCTCTCTAGTTTCTGAAAACTGACGCCCTTGCTCTGCCTTTTCACCAAGCTTTTGCTCACTCTTCTCTCACCTACTCTCCCCACTGCTCATCCCCTCAGCTCCAGTGTAAGCAGCCCCACGGGATTTGCAGACCCCTCCTCCTCCTGCATGGCCTGCCCAGCAGCTAGGGTTGCCAGATGGTTACAACAAAAATACCAGACACACATGACATTACCTCACAATCTACATTACATCTTATTTAGAAAATACCGGACATTTATATTTTCTCATTTATATTTTCTCAATTTGTTTCCCGAACAGAAAGCTCAAATACTGGACTGTCCAGTTCAAAACCGGATACCAGGCAACCCTACTAGCAGTCCCTTTCCCTGGACGCTTAGGCAGCTGAAGGCCAGCAAGGAGGGCTCGTGTGTGGCTGGGGGAAGCACAGCCTGGTGGGGCATCTTGTGTTCCTTCCCTCCTGCAGAACATTCTGGGCCCACTAGGGAGCCCCTTTCCCTGCTTGTTGTGAGCTCCCATGCTCTCCTTTGCTGCAGCCCTGCTGACCACGAGCTTCCAAAGGGGCCACATGAGCTGGTGCATGCATGCTGCTGTGGGACTGGCTGCTTCAGAGACGGGCGACAGGCAACTCCTTGCTCCCCACCTTCAGTAACTGGACTTTCCAGTCAGGAACCAGAAATTTGAGTGGCTTTAGGACTTCCTATGCTTTCCCTTTAAATACACTTCAAAACATCCTGGCTGTATGGGGAATTGTGTTGTGAGGCAGGGAAAGGGAACAGGAAATGGAGAATTATTGGGATTGGGGAAGGGAAGCAGCCAAGCAGGGAAGATCTTTTCTTTAAGTCCCTGCTATGTTGAAATAAATAAATCAAATATCTCTTAAAAACCAGGGGAGAGGAGAAAGAGGAAATCTTATTTCTCCAGTTAAAGAGAAGAGGTGTAATGATTTTTAAATTCTTGGTGGTGGTGGTAAGGTCTAGCTGCATACTTCTGCTAGCAGATCTAGCAGATATTACATTATCGGGTCCAGCTAGCCAATCAAAATGCACCTTTGGTTAAACTTGGCTAGGATCTAATAAAGCATTATGTCATGACAGGGTTTGCATGGCTTGGCTATTGCTGCATTTGCCTTGTGAGTTGAATGTCACAAGCAGTGTGCTGTTAGTCTAAAGCAGGCATGTCCAAAGTCCGGCCCGCGGGCCAAATGCGGCCCGCGGTCGGATTTAATACGGCCCCCCGCTTCTCCCGGCTCCCCGGTGTTTTTTTAACTGGCGCGCTCAGCGCGCCGCTTCAGGCCGCCGCCGCCGCGGTCCCAAACCCTGCCCCTGCACTCCGCTTTGGGGCTGAGAGTGCAGGGACAGCCCCCGCTTCCTCCCCCTCTCCTGGCTCCCCGGCGCTCCTCTGACTGGCGCCGCTTCCGGCCGCGCCGCCGCCGTCCATGGCGGCCGCTGCGGTCCTAAAGTCCTCCGTGTAGGGCACGTCCGCAGCCCCGCTCCCCCGCCTGGC